GAACAACGTCATTTGCGTCCCGACCAACCCGCCTTCTCATTCCCCAAATCCCTGCGGCGGATTACGCACTACAAGCACTGAACATATCATTTCCTTTCCCGAATTATCTCGATCTAACTGTCCACAGCAGTTCTATGACGGGACAAACCAATCAACCACAAACTTCCGTCTAATAGCTCCGCCTCCAGTTGTTGCCCAATGGTCGCAGCTGTCTACGGGGAAGGCATAGCAACAGAGCTGCGAATGGTCAGACGGGAGAAAGCTAACGGCAGGATGAGTCATGACGCTTGTCCTGGTTGGCTGAGAAACAGGAGACTTTGAACCAATGAGAGACGCGTGTAGTCCAATTCAAATCCCGGACTTTCAGCGGTGATTACGCATAGAAACCGTTTCGTTGAGCGGTCGCCATTGTTTGCTGCTTTGGACGAGTGTGGTGTGCGGCTCTGCCGACTCCGCTGGGATCATGTCCTTCAAGAATATCTACTATTCGGACAAGTACTCGGATGAGAAGTATGAGTACAGGTAAGGAGGGCTGGGGCTGCTCACATCCTTCCATTGAGTACTGCAAGGCCTGCTGCGTGCATACACCCGGCTAAAGGGGTTTACAGCTGTAAACAGTGGGCTCTCCCTGAGCGGGACAGTGAACACGTGAGGTTTCATTCATTCCTGTTTAAAGGGGAACATCAGCCCTGTTTTATTAAACCCCTCTTCCCTTGTTTGCAGGGTTCGCCTCTGTACACTTACACGCATGCCCAGTGGAGTTTGTGTTCCTTCAGTGCTGTAAACCTGGTCCTGCTGTGTCATCAGGAGTTGCCTATCCCTTCCTGGTTCCCACAGCTGGCCCTCCTGATGACATTCATATGGTGTGTCGTTAGGGCCCAGCTGCTAGAAGCAGGAAGACACAGGCAGCCCCAATGACACAGCTGAATGTCTCTTTCCATTGGATTGCCGCAGAGCCTCCTAGGATGTATGATGTGATGGCTGCAGGGGTGTCTAGGCAAGAACTGTGAATGTGAGGGAACGCCACCTAAAGTTACTTAAAGTGACACTAAAGCTTTGGTTATATATTTTTTTGTTAATAAAATAACAAACATGTCTATACTTGCCTGTTCTGTGCAGTGATTTTGCACAGAGTAGCCCCGATTTTTGCCTCCCCCGGAAAACCGGAGGCACCTCTGTGTGCTCGTCTCCCAGCTGCTGCTCTATGCGTCCATAAGACAGCCATGACTCGGCCCCTGCCACCTCTCTCCTCATTGGCTCACTGGCTGTGATTGACAGCTGCAGGTGCCAATGGGTGCCCGTTGCTATCTTAGCCAATGAGAAGGAAGAGTCCCCAGATAGCGGATAGAATGCATTAAGGTAAAAAACCTTTAGTCTTTAGAACCACTTTTATATGTGATGTGTTTTAACCACTTAAAGTGGTTGTCCAGTCTCCTTGGAAAAAAAAAAAGTTAGCAGCTACAAATCTGTAGCTGCTGACTTTAAAAAACAAAAAACACCAGCCACTTGCCTCTCCCATGATCCAGCGGTGTGTTCACAGGCCGTCCTGTCTGCTTGGCACCGGCATCTTAAAGCGGAGTTCCAGTTGGGAAAAATTGGTCCAGGGATGTCCTCACCACAGCTGGTTTCAGTGGTTGTCTTCTCTCCCGGGGCTGGCATCTTTAGTGTGGGTACTTGGCTGTGACAGCTTGCAGCTTCACAGCCAAGTGCTCACTGCACATGCTTGAGAAGCGCTGTGCTTTGTGAATGGCCCCGTAGTCTTCTGGGACCTGTCACATATCCCAGAAGACTACGGGAGGGAGGAGGATGACAACTTCCACTTGCAATCGCCTTAGGCAATCGCAGTGGGAGCGGCTACCTGTCAAATTCGGGTACCCGCTCCCTAAAGGCGCCAGTCCTTAATGGGGTGCGGGGGACAAAGCTTTAAAGTGGAGCTCTGCTTTAAGTGTGGGGATCAGATTGTGACAGCTTGTGGCTTCTCAGGCGGGTTTTCACTGTGCATACGCTAGCAAGCGCTGTGCATTGTGACTGGCCCTGCAATCTTCAGGGTCCCGTCGTGTGTGTCTCAGAAGACTGCAGGGAGGGAGGAGGAGAACGTCTGCTTCCAATGTTAAGCGGTCGGCATGAAATGGGAGCGACTACCTCTCAAAATCGGGTACCTGCTTCATCCCCGCCTGCTCCCCAAAGGTGCCAATTCTTCACGGGGAGTAGGGAACCAGTCCTTAAAGCAGAACTTCCCCTTTTGGGTGGAGCTCCACTTTAAGGTCTGTACTTTTTCTGACACTTCTTCACATGTAACTCCATTTTCTTACTACAAAATTTCTTAGAACCCCAAACATCATGTATATATTTTTAAAGCAGAGGCCCTAGAGATTAAATTTGTCTCACTCGTTTTGAGCAGCAGTTTTTCAAATGCAATTTTTTGGTAAAAATACTTTTTTCTTTAATGGGGAAAAAAAAAACACAATACATAACCCAATTTTTATAAAAGATGTCACACCAAGTAAAGATACCAAAGATGTCATGCTTTAAAATTGCCGACGCTCATGCAATGGCAACAAACGATAATGTTACTATCCATAGGCAACACTTTATAAGCTTTTACAGGTTACCACTTTAGATTTACTGAGGAGGTCTGGTGCTAGAATTACTGCTCATGATCTGGGATTCTCAGTGATACCTCAAGTGTGGGGCGATCGCTGTTTGCGTGCAGCATCGGTGCGTGCATTTGCCTTTGTGCGTGAGGACAGGGGTACTTCATTTTTTTTAAATTTTGTTTTATTTTTACACTGTTGCATTTAAAAAAATTTTTTCTTGTTTGCTTTTATTACTGTCGCAAGGAATGTGAACGTTCTTGTGACAGTATCCCCCTTTTTTTTTTTTTTTTTTTTTTAAATTGAATTACTTTTATCACAAGAAATGCATGCATCTCTTGTGATATAAATAATTAGTGACAGGTTTTCTTTATGGAGAGCTATGGGGTCAATAAGACCTCGCATCTCTCCTCTACAATGTAAAGCATTGGGTCAAAAAACAAAAAGCATTGATCTAGTGCTCTGAAAAAAAAATGGACGGGAAGTGACATCGCTCTGGACCTCCAAGGGCATAGAAATGAGTGGCGGCCATCTTTCCTTCACTCATCTCTATGCCCAGCGCTGGGATCGATGGTTTCTCAGGTAAGGCTGAGAACTGCCAGTGGCGGCGGCGAGGGGCGGGGTTTTTTCAGCACCTGTATCGGTGCTTTTTTTTTTTTCGTCCAAAGTGCTTCGGCCTCTGAAATTTCAGTGCATCCCTAATTATTATAGATAAAATGTATATAAATATGGAAATTGAATATAGTAATATAAAACCCAAATTACTTAGGCAAGTATTCACTTCATGCAAAAATAATACAATTTTACATTTTTGATTAAAATAATCCTGTCAACCCCATATGCAATGCAAATATTAATATGAACTTTTTCTAGATGTTTATGGAAAAATCAACATGAACCATTCTCTGTCCTTTGTTCAATCCGAGACATGGACACCTTAATTAATCTTGCAAATTGGTTCCATGGTCAGTGCTTATCTTGTGGCTGTCTGGTACCATCATACCCCTCAAATTTACAACCTGGGAAAGTATGCTGTAAGAAACGGAGAGTCTTTGTTCAGAAACCTTGCATACCAATAGAATGTACAGAACAAAAATGGCTTCCAGCATGCCCATGTTACATTATGTAGCGATAAGTTAAAGCCTTCCAGTTTAATTCTGTGGGCACAGAATATATTTCTGACACTCCAATGGACGGCATAGCATACATTGAGAGAGCTGTGCAGCGCCTGTGACTCCTGCATGCATGTGCGGGGAGTGACATCATCATGGCTCAGCCATTCCAGCGGCCAGAGCCAACTAACCTGGAAAGAAGACTGTGTGACCATGGATTCCCTGTCAGTGTGCCAATAAAGGGATCTGTTTCACAGGCAAGTCTGTCATAATGTTAGTATTCGGTACATTCTAACACATTATGACATTGTCCTGCGGGAGGGAACAGTTGTGGGTTTTTTTTTTTTTTGTTTTTTTTTTTTTTTCTTTTCCCCCCCCCCTCACTGAAGGTAACCTATACTTAGGTGTTTTTTGCCTTCCCTGATATGACTCAGTGATGTAATTGCTGGATCTCTGTGCTTCTCAATGCAATGCAGAATGATCCTGGCTGGTTGAAGAGGCCTACTAGATGCTGTGAATTGCTTCCTGAAAATTTCTTGGCACTGGGAGCAGAAGTTGTCCTCCCACAACTGCCACCCCCCTCCCTCCCCGTAGTATTCTGGGACACGTGACAGGTCCCAGGAGACTACGGGGCCATTCACAAAGTGCAGTTCTTCTCGCGCATGCGCAGTGGGCACCCGGCTGTGAAGCCGCAAGCTGTCACAGCCAGGTGCCCACACTGAAGATGCTGGCGCCAGGGAGAGAAGACGGCTGGTGAAACCAGCGGTGGTGAGGACACCGCTGGATCGTGGGATAGGTATGTGGCTGTATTATAAGAGTCAGCAGCTACAGTTTTTGTAGCTTCTGTGTTTTTTTATTTTTTATTTTTTTTTTCAGGTGGAACTTCGCTTTAAGCCAGCCTAGGATGATGCAACTCAAAAAAACTAGACATGCTATAATTTTAAGTCAACATTTTCTGCTTAAACCACCCTTTCTTAAATACATTTTATATATATATTTTTTTTTTTATTATTTTGGGGGGGGGAGTTAGAGACTCTTGTCAGGTTTTTACTGCGCTCTGGGGCTCTGTTCCGCTCACTTCCAGTTTCGGAAACTAACTTTTTACCAAACAGTAAGTGAAGGAATCTCTTCCAATAGACCCTCCGAAGGCAGTATAACCTTTTACAGAAGTTCTAATCCCCAGCCTATTCAAAAGGTTGGGGTGGGTGGCTATAGGTGCACTGTAACACATTCTCTTTAAAGATATAGTGTGTAACTATTTCAATTTTAAATCCACTATATTTTCTTTAACTAGGCATGTTATGCTTCCAAAGGAATTGGCAAAACAGGTACCAAAGACACATCTAATGTCTGAAGAAGAGTGGAGGAGACTTGGCGTTCAACAAAGCCTTGGTTGGGTTCATTACATGATTCATGAACCAGGTGAGTTTTGAGTGGTGATTGGGGAAGGGAACCTGAGTTAAGACAACAATGGTGACTGTAACTTCCAAGTTTTCTGAAAATTTCATTTTGCCTGGTTGCATCTGTCTCTAATATTTCAGTTGCTGATCTGGAAGATGCCAGGCACTTTGCATTTTCCAAAATGGACAGATTAGAAGTGATGGTCTCTATCCATAAAAATACAGTACATGAGTTTATTGTGCATGTGTAGTTTTAACCACTTGCCGTCCTTAAGGTGTGTATTATATATTTGCTCACCACCTGTTCCACCGGGGAGTCTGGGACCGCTGTTGGCGATTGAGTTGGCTACGCAGGAACATCCATGCCCTGATCTCCTCTGCCACCAAATAAACTCAGAGGCAACAAGGATTCTGGTGCTGTGCCAGCTAGGGAAGCGGCCAATGAAACAGACCTGTTTGATTTGCTGCCTTGGAGGGCAGAGGAGAGGGATCAGGAGTTTAACAGACTTTTGATATCGCCATAAAGGGTACCTGTCATGGCCCAAAGCATTCACACGGGGGTTTGTTCATCTTTTTGATAGCAATAAAGTTACATGGGGAAAAAAAATACTATTTCTTAAATAGCCTTTACGTCTAAATTATTTAATGTCATCTTCGTATTGTCATCTTCATATTCTCAAAACTCACACATTGAACAAGAAAACATTCCATTAGCCTTAGCTTTTACAATGGGCAAAGGTAAAGAAACTGCTACAGTTATACATTTTCTAGTACGGGTTAGAAGCATGTGTGTGATTGAAAATGAGTGTAATGTTTGAGCGCTGCCTAGGGCAACTTGGGTTTTTTGTATAGTGAGATTCATAAAGGCTGTATACCTTTTGGGGGGCTGTGTTTTATAGAGTAAGATTGCTGAAGCTAATATTTCAATGTTGAACATTTTTCCCTTTTTTTTTTTTTTTTTTTTCCTTATAGAACCTCACATACTCCTATTTAGAAGGCCTCTTCCAAAAGACCAACAGAAATGAATTGCTCTTCACTTTTATCTTTTGGGACAATCTGTATATATTGTAGTATTCAGTGAATACAAAGACTATGACCCTCACAACCACAGCTGTGCACAAGCTGTATTCTTAACAGCATCGGAGCTCTGGGAGTGTTTTCTACATTGAGCTGCTATTATGTTCTATTGTGTTTCTTTTTACTGTCACGTGTGGTTTTTTGTTTTCTTTCCTGTTTTTTTTTTTTTTTTTTTTTCCCCTCTTGACCACTAGTTTATTAAAGTTTACGTATTTCACTTGTTTTGATGTTATTATAGCTTATGGCAAAAAGTGCATTAAATGTTAAGTGGTTTTCTTGCTTTCAATTATTCATACATTTTTTTTTTTTTTTTTTTTGTTTGTTTGTTTGTTTTCTATTTAAAGGAAATTTAAATTTTGGATTGTGTAGAGCTGTGTTCACCTTTTTGGTTTAGTTGTGGCTTTTTTTTTTTTTTTTTTTTTTTTTCCTCTTGTTACTTTACACTGAATGCTTGTTGCTCTGTGCAAGCCAAGGGTAAAGCGAAGTGAGCACATGCCAAACTCAAGCTGTTTTTCAAGCATACCATGTTTTTGCTTTGCAAATTTTGTGTACCCAAGAACAGATTTGATCATCTGTTTTTTATATGAAACTCTAAGGACAAGTGCATTAATAAAACAAAGTTGCATCCTGTTAAATGAAGAATAAGCAGATTTCTTTGAGGCTCCTGGATCACCAACATACACAATTTAAAAAGATCCTTTTTAAATTAAATAAATGCACATTTTTACAATGTAACACAAAAATGGAGAGTAATGCAGGGCATAGATGGGTTGAAAACCGTCCGTTTTTTAAAAAACAAAAAACCCCGAAAAATCAGTCATTCAATAAGCCGACGTTACCACCAATGGTAAAAAAAATTGGCCGATTTTCGTTCCGTCTACTGCCGGCATTTAATTACTTCTGTCCTTTGCAGAGAGCTCCGCTATTATATTTGACATGGAAAAAGTATTGCAGTTGCAACAATGTATCCATTTCGGATACAGATGGGTTTTTTTTATTCGATACAAATAGATACATTGTTGCAATCGTAATACTTTTTCATGTCAAATATAATCGCAGACTGGAATTCTTCTTTCTTCGTTACGGCTCATGCGCAGATTTTTTTATCGGTAAAACGATCGGCCGATTTGCCAATCATTGCCGGTAAGATCGGCAAAATCAGCCTTTTTTTCTTTTTCTCCCCCAACTTAACGATAAAAAAAGTGCCAAAACAGCCGACCAATTAACCCACTGACGGTGCGCAAATCAGCGGGGGTTTTTTTTTTTTCGATTTTTGACTCGTCTATGGCCTGCATAACTGTGCAGAGCAGGGTGAGACAGTGTATTATTGGATTTTAAACCGTGTAAGCACTTATTTTTAATGTTTACGTAGCTTTACCTGCAAATGGGACCATACTGAAGTAGTCTAGCGCAGGGACTGGTTTTGTGGCAGCTAATTTTTCCAGGTGGAAGGGGGTTCATGGAGTTGGGCCTGAGCCTTCCTTTACAGCACAGATCAACATTTATATCAGTGTCTGCAGACTCCCACCCCTGCTTTCCTCTTGCATCACTGTCCCCTTTCAATCTGCCTCCCCCTGCACAGTCCTTCCTTTGGCAGGGCAGAGGCAGTCGTCCTGTTTCCTGTCCCACCCTGTTGACTGTCATTGTATCAGCAGGACAGGGCGTGGGAGAGCTGCGCAACTCATTTAACAAGCAGGTGATTACCTGCTTGTTAATATGAAAAGACTCTTGCGCTTGCTGCTGGATCTTCTGCTCTGCTGATAGGATGATATAGTCATCGGGGCAGGAAACCCAGGAGCTGACACTCAGGCTTCTAAGCAGCATGGCTGTGGTCCGGACAGGACTAGCATGGACCATGGTTGCCATTTACCTCCTGCTTTGCAGCCCAGTTATTGACAAGCTACAGATCAGTATTGGTCCATGGGTTGGGACCTCTCATCTAGCAGCACTTAAAGTGCAACTTTAGTCAGAAAATTAAGTGTAACTATAACAATGAAATACAAGGGACGTTAAAGTCAAACAGGGACTTTTAATTTACAGGTGTAAAAAGGGATGCTAGAGTGGTGGTACTACACACAGTAGTGAGTGATAAGTGTGTCTTATTACTGATAGACAGCGCACAAATGTTGCGAGCCAGGCCAGAGACTGTTAATAAAGATGGCAGACAACAGTGTTAGTGTGTGCATGGGAAAGCGTAAGGTGATGAAGTGAACAAAGGTGTAAAACCCACGGCTAGCTACAGAAGACTTCAAGCACAGTACGGGGGTGAGATGCTCAGCCGCAGTAAGACCTTTGATTGGTGTAAATGTTTCAAAGATGGCTGTGTACGTCTGTAAGTGACTATTCCAGGTGTGGTGGTTCCCAGCCCACAGCAGTCATTCCTATGAACATTCAGCACGTAGAATGCCTGATCGTAGCTAATCGATACATAACCTGTCGTGAAATTGCACAAGAGACAAATCTTTCTGTGGGAACGGTGAATGGAATCATTCACAAACATTTACAGTCAGGTCCATAAATATGGGGACATCGACACAATTCTAACATTTTTGGCTCTATACACTACCACAATGGATTTGAAATGAAACAAACAAGATGTGCCTTAACTGCAGACTGTTAGCTTTAATTTGAGGGTATTTACATCCAAATCAGGTGAATGGGGTAGGAATTACAACAGTTTGCATATGTGCCTCCCACTTGTTAAGGGACCAAAAGTAATGGGACAATTGGCTTCTCAGCTGTTCCATGGCCAGGTGTGTGTTATTCCCTCATTATCCCAATTACAATGAGCAGATAAAAGGTCCAGAGTTCATTTCAAGTGTGCTATTTGCATTTGGAATCTGTTGCTATCAACTCTCAAGATGAGATCCAAAGAGCTGTCACTATCAGTGAAGCAAGCCATCATTAGGCTGAAAAAAAAACAAAACAAACCCATCAGAGAGATAGCAAAAACATTAGGCGTGGCCAAAACAACTGGAACATTCTTAAAAAGAAGGAACGCACCGGCGAGCTCAGCAACACCAGAAGACCACGGAAAACAACTGTGGTGGATGACCGAAGAATTCTTTCCCTGGTGAAGAAAACACCCTTCACAACAGTTGGCCAGATCAAGAACACTCTCCAGGAGGTAGGTGTATGTGTGTCAAAGTCAACAATCGAGAGAAGACTTCACCAGAGTGAATACAGAGGGTTCACCACAAGATGTAAACCATTGGTGAGCCTCAAAAACAGGAAGGCCAGATTAGAGTTTGCCAAATTACATGTAAAAAAGCCTTCACAGTTCTGGAACAACATCCTATGGACAGATGAGACCAAGATCAACTTGTACCAGAGTGATGGGAAGAGAAGAGTATGGAGAAGGAAAGGAACTGCTCATGATCCTAAACATACCACCTCATCAGTGAAGCATGGTGGTGGTAGTGTCATGGCGTGAGCATGTATGGCTGCCAATGGAACTGGTTCTCTTGTATTTATTGATGATGTGACTGCTGACAAAAGCAGCAGGATGAATTCTGAAGTGTTTCGGGCAATATTATCTGCTCATATTCAGCCAAATGCTTCAGAACTCATTGGACGCCGCTTCACAGTCCAGATGGACAATGACCCAAAGCATACTGCAAAAGCAACCAAAGCATTTTTTAGGGAAAGAAGTGGAATGTTATGCAATGGCCAAGTCAATCACCTGACCTGAATCCGATTGAGCATGCATTTCACTTGCTGAAGGGAAAATGCCGCAGGAACTGAAGACTGTTGCAGTAGAGGCCTGGCAGAGCATCACCAGGGATGAAACCCAGCGTCTGGTGATGTCTATGCGTTCCAGACTTCAGGCGTAATTGACTGAAAAGGATTTGCAACCAAGTATTAAAAAGTGAAAGTTTGATTTATGATTATTATTCTGTCCCATTACTTTTGGCCCCTAACAAGTGGGAGGCACATATGCAAATTCTTGTAATTCCTACACCGTTCACCTGATTTGGATGTAAATACCCTCAAATTAAAGCTGACAGTCTGCAATTAAAGCACATCTTGTTCGTTTCATTTCAAATTCCATTGTGGTGTATAGAGCCAAAAATGTTAGAATTGTGTTGCTGTCCCAATATTTATAGACCTGATTGTATATACAGTCTCCCAGCAGCCTTCAGGGCCCTGCTCCCTGGGATTGGCCAGGGCTATATGAATATTTATGTTTCCATCTGCATAGTTCCACACCTATAATCAATAAAGTTCTACTGATTTCTGGAACGAAGAGGGGGCAATCAGACTGACAGCAGCTGAGAACACTGAACAGACCTAACTAATCAATTGCAGCCACACAGAATACAGTGTGGCAAACTAAATTTACCTGACAAAAATACACATAGCTCCACTGAACACAGTGAGCCAGCTCTAAATCTAACTAATCCTAGCATCTCTAGGAGGGTGCTGCACAATATTCAAATTTGATACACGAGTTCAATAGTAACAAGTTAGTTATCTCCCTTGTATGAGAAGATGGAGGAAGGCAACACTGTACCTAAATGTAATTTGTATTTTTTTTTTTTTTTTTTTAGATAGAGCTTTCATTAGGTGGTATTAATAACCACTGGGTTTTTTTTATGTTTTTGCTAAATAAAAAAAGAACAAACATTTTGATGAAAGAAATGTGTTTTTTTTGTTTCTGTTATAAAATTTTGCAAATAAATAACCTTTCTTCATAAATATAGACCAAAATGTTAGACCACAAACTATAGTACTGTATACTGTATATATTTGAGAATCGATCAATCTTGATGTACTGATGGCCTGTTTAACCCCTTGGCGCCGGCGCCTCCCGACCCTTTAAGGGTTTCAGAAGCCAGGAGGCAGGGCGGGATTTTAGGATCATGTGACTGCCGTGATTCGCCATCACTGCGGTCACATGATCAGGAAAGGTCCCGAAAGAAAGAGGAAATCGGGACCTTTCTGTGAG